TTATAATGATAAATGTTTATTAACAAATTTATGAAAAGCGCAGTCACACATTTCTTAAATGATAAAAATGTAAAATAAACCGCTTATGTAGAATGCACATTGGTTACCTATTGGATTAATTTAAGCACCAACTTACTTTAATCAAAGACAAACGCAAAAATTACACAAATTCTTGAAATTACCTGCCAAATGGGTTTATTTTTGCTATCAATCGCACCAAACTCTCGCTCATGGGCTCTTGTCAACACCTGCTTGTAAAGGATTTCAGCTTCTGCGTATCTACCTTGCTTCAGATAGCATCCAGCCAAATTATTCTTCGTTTTAGCCACATTCGGATCATCGGGACCAAGTTTTGATTCATATATATCAAGAGCTCTTTGATAGTATTTCTCAACTTCATCATATTTGCTTTGGTTTTGGCAAAGAAGAGCCAAATTATTTAGTTGCTTTGCAACATCTGGATGGTCCTTGCCCAAAACTTTCTCGCGTATTTCAAGAGCACGCTTGCAAAGTGGTTCGGCATCCTTGTATTTGCCACGCTTGCCATAGAGCACAGCTAAGTTGTTTAATGTTGCTGCTACGGCTGGATGATTCTCTCCCAAAGTCTTGCCACGAATGGACAGAGCATCATTCAATAAATTGGCAGCCTCCTTGTACTTGTTCTGAAATATATATTAGTAGACATTAGTTGTGTTGATGAGATTACTTTTAATTTATACTAACTTGATCACGGTAGACAAGTGCTAAAATATTTAACATTGTTGCCACATCGGGATGATCGTGACCACTGGTCTTTTCAAGATCTTCAAGTGCCTGCTTGCATAGCGGTACTGCTACTTCATATCTGTGAAATATGTTTATATACATATTAAAACGAATTTTAATAAAAAGGAAAATTGCACCCATTTCTTTACATTCCACTAATCCATTATATCATATATTTTATATTTATGATTACATACCTGCCCTGTGATGCATATTGAATCACAAGATTATGAAGAGTGCGCAACCTGGCTGGTATCTCGTAGCCAGAAGTTTGATTAGCAAACTGGCTTGGAGGCGTGGGTGACATATTATGTCTATCATCATTTTCTTCATCTGGAAAGAGCTCGACAACTGGATCGTTGCGGGACTTCTCGCAGGATTCATCTTGCTCTTGATTGTCATCATATTTTCGTACAGATGCCATAAATTCAAGATGTTTCTTTTCCTCTTCGAGTTGTGCCACTAGTTGTTCAGATGCTTGGAATTTCTGTTGGGTGTTGGCTAGCTCGTCGCGCAGCCAAGCGTTTTCTTGATGAAGACGGCGAACTTGTGTTTTGAGTTTTTGCTTTTCAGCTTCGATGTTTTGCAAGTGCGATGTTAGGGCCATCATGACCTGCGCCTCGCTCAAGCCAAGTTCAATGCTCTCTATGTTCTTTCGTAATATATCAGATTTCTCATTATCTTTTTGAACTTCGGATATTCCGTTCATAATCGAAACATGTTCAACTCGCAAGGCTTCCAAGCCTTGCAAAACAGTTTTTGTATTGCTTATAATTTCGTCTTGCGACATCTGCGTCATTTTGCCGATTTGCTCAATTTTCTGTCTGCAGAAAAAGAAAAAACGTTTATTTACAAAATGTGGAAAAATATATAAAAATTGTATGTTTTAAGGAAACAGTATGACAGTTAAATGAAGTTGAATATGATTTTCAGTTTGTTACATTCTGTAATTTTTGATAGCTTTTGAAACAATCATTTTCACAAAACGCGTGTGGCTCAAAAAAATACTTTTGCACAAATCAATAATGTAAAACTTGCGCATGCGCAGGAACTACAAATTTGTAACTTCGAAGAAACATCCCTAACAATGTTTACATACAATAGCGTTTTTATATTAAATACTATTTGTACGGTTTTGTTAAAAGAATACGATTTTTTACTAACGACAAGCACAACAACAGAAAGTTGTTTCCTATACGATCCTTCCTTTTTAGTCATTTACCCCATCAACGAAGAGAATGTAAACATTCACTAATTTCTAAGAGAATGCCGGTATTTCTGATGACATATTAAAACACTAATCATCGCATTGTGATCGATAATATGGAAAACACCTCAGTGTCATCACTATATACAGCTGCTATTTATGCCCTAGGACAAAATATATGTTGCTTAACACAAGACACAGATGAGTTAATAGTTGGAAGTGAGATTTATGGTCGAAAGCACTTGCTAGACAACTTTAACATGCAATATTCTGAAATAATAATATTCTATGCCTAATAAACTACAGTAATGAATTTCGAAACGTCATAGTCATTGCTTTTAGCCTTGCATTCATTATAAACATAGAGCAATTATAAATTAAGTTAGTAAAGAGAATGTATGTATGTATGTACATAGTGAAATCGGGCTATTAACCTACGAACGGTGCACAAGAAACTATGTACACATTTTTGATGACTAACTCTTATTACCTCAGAGAAAGACAATTTAATACTTAAATAAATACAGAAGTATACGACTTAGGCGTCGTAAGTCTGAAAATAAACTACTACTACATTAATGTTATTTTATTATTGTTGGCGTGTAATAACAATATGAAATATTATATACATATGTATGAACATACAGGCAACATGCATTCAGATGTAGGTGTGCTCAAGTGCTCAAATCGCCATTTACTACAAGGGGAAAATGCTTGGGGCTTTCTGTTTTGACTTTATAAATTATTAGATAAGCACATCATAAGTATATACCATATGTAATGTACGCACAAATGAATATTGCTTTTATATACGCTTCACAGCACATATGTATGTACATATCTACACACATTCGCACATACGTACTTATACATGTATGTATGTATGTGTTTTCAACGGCACAGTCACCATTTACTTTTTTTAGTATTTGTATAACTGCATACACACTTAAGCAACATATATATGTACATATGCGTGTTTTGGCAGTAATGTTTTTTCTTGAGACGAAATAATAATGAATACACGAGATGAGTGCATATATGACACATAAATATATACATTTCTGCCTCATATTCATGTGTATGGATTTACTTATTGCACGAATTTACCGCCACCGCATATATATTAATAAAACTGAATGCATATTATGGAATATAATACCACAAAACTACACGATCACCCACCAGATTTTAATAATAAATAAATATTAAAAATAAACTTACATGCAGAGACAGAACTAATAATGATTAAAAAGATACAGATAATTTCTAATAAATTATGTTATCGAATACATTTATTAAAATACCAAAAAGCTTCGATTATATATGGTATTTTTAAACGTAAAAATAGTATATTTTTAGTGTTAAAAATAGTATGCTGACCCAGCAAATTTCTGGTAAGAATATTTATCGAGTATATAACGAATGCAAATCGGTCTAGGAGCTAAAGCCGGTTGTTGTTTCTCCAAATAATTTACAAAAAATGACAACAGTTAATCAATAATAACTGACTGAAATATAGAACTAAGATAGTCAAATACTATTATATTTTGATAACATCTTATTTATTGAAGTTAATCACTATCATTATCATTTAAAATTGCCGACATAGCCTCCGCTAATTCTTCCGCTTTATTTAACATTTCGTCTCTTGTTAAATGTGTATCATTACGCAAATTTTGGGCTGTAATTAACAGCTTTTCAAAATCATTTAGCTCATTTTCCAGTTGTTCGGCACTATTTGATTGATTTCGACTCGAAGCTAAAATTAAAAAATTTTTGATCAATAATAATTTTACAAAATATGAAAATAATCACATGTAAAACTTACAGGAAGATGGCTTTGTTTTTATGTTAGACCACACAAAATTTTCTAAGCCTTCCACAATTTCCGAATATTTCTCTGGCTCCTCTGAGTCTTCTTCATCTTCCTTCAGTGTTATTATATCAAAAACTACATTTGCATTTTCTTTCAGTTCTTCAAAAGTTAATTCATTTGGCTTATCCGACAATGCAGTTGTTATTAAAAATCCCAACTCAATGTTGTTTGATATTAAAAAGTCGTTAATGGCCGAGAGGCTGTTTATGAAAGTTCTCTGAAATATTAATATAATAGTTTAATGATATTAATTTAGGCTTAAATTATACTTACATCAAATGGATCAAAGTAGATAATTAAAGCTTCTATTATGGTTTTTAATTCAACTGGAACTCTATCGAGCTTCCCATCGAATGGAATTAGATATATACTCGTAGTGTAATATTTAGTTCTAATATCACATTTATAATGATTTATAACAACAGATTCATATGTTTTTGGTGTTATTAGCTTAGGTTGCTTCATTTCAGTTAATATATCTGAAAAAAAAGAGTCATACAGAAAATGCTATATAGTGAATCATACCGGCATATTTAAGACTAACATTGAACACAATAAAGGCGTATTTTGAGATTTGCTATTCATTACAGCTTTCTGCCTTATGAACAACTATATATTTTCAATTACATATATTACTCTCAGTATTTCCGATTGCTTAAGAAATTTTACATACTTTCAAGCACTTCCATTGCAGACAGTTTTCCATATGATAAAATCAATACACATGGATTCATAATTACACAATTTAAATATTTGGCTTCCTTCAATAACAATGCAATTGTAAACACACAAAATAATTCAGCTTTTGCTAGTGCCGACAAACAAATAGTTCCTTCATCGAACCGGTCTGAAATTGCATATGTTTATGGTATCGTTAAAATCATCGCAAGAATTGAATAATTTGGTATTTTTTTTGTATTAAGTAGTTTATATATGATGTGAATTCACAAAAAAATTCTCTTTAGGTATAGCACGTTTTTGGTAATTATTAAAAACAAGCTATTCCTTTTTTAATATATTTAAATTAATTCGATATTTATTTACTGTCTTACCATCAATTTTTTGAGAGGATATCGATATAATTTTGAATGTTCATTTGAGCAGTTCACAAAATGGTTCTATTTATCAATTTATTACGAACCACTAAAATAAATTAAGCACCTTGTTGGGTGCAGTAAAACCTCCCACCGTTTTGACAACTATTTTTATAAAAACATGCCTCCCAGCAAACTTGACAGTCTCTATCGGCGAATGCTTATTACAAGATTTTTTGAGAAGGGATGGGGCAAGCCTGAAAACTTACATAGGTAAGTTAGCGAACTGCAAGTCAAATATAAACAATTGTATTCATGAGAACTTGCGGTCTGTTCAATCCGTATGTAAATATGTATGTATGTATTGTTGTTATTCCTTTGCATCCTTTACGTAATAAGTCAAATCACTTAAAATTTTATTAATAAAAATTAGTTCGATAGCGCACCCATCAATTGTGGTGCTTGGAGCCCATGAGGAAAGTACTTAACATGTTTGGACACCTGTGTGTTTACTGTGGACTTTTAAAATTAAAATAAAACTTGCTGCAGGCGAGACCATATCGATAAAAAGCGGAAATCGATTTACAGCCCCAACCAATTGCTGGTATTCCCCTTTTAAGTTGACTTTTGTGAACCACAGATTTTGAATTGGATAATTATGTTACTAATATTCTCATTACGTGGCAATCATTTGCCATTTTTTCCAGATATTTGTTTTTTGGTCACGGGAATAATTTGCAGAACTTATTTTGCTCTAGATAAGGAGAATGATTAAATCATAAGCCTTGATAAGGATATGTTGTTGGTATTTTGACTTAACAAAATAATCTAACTGCTCAGCCAATTTTCTGTACACTCTAACCATTAGTTGACTTTTATTTATTTTCAGAGTATTTCAGTTCCGGAAAATAATATCGTGCCGGGAAACATGTTTTAAACTCGTACCACGTGACTATCCAGTGGAAATAACTAAGAAGAAGACATATTCTGATTCGACTCTGATAGAAGGCAATTTTACAACCCCTCTCGAGCTGCATATGCCGGGAGTCGTTCCAGAAGCAGCCCAACAAGCTCACTTTCAATTATTATTACCAAACAAGTGGAATGATGAACACCACAAACCAATATGCATTCATTTAGCAGGTACTGGAGATCATGTGAGTATATTAAACGAATCAACAATCTCTTAAACAAAGTAATAAATTTGTAATAAATGTAGTTTTTTTGGCGCCGAAGAAACTTTATTGCAAAACCTTTATTGAAAGACGCAAACATTGGATCTATTATACTAGAAAATCCATTTTATGGACTACGTAAACCAGACGATCAAATGTAAGTGTATGTAGAATGGATCTAAATCTAATTTTTAACAATCAATGTATTCTGGTTACAGTCGATCGAATTTGCATAATGTTTCTGACATATTTGTTATGGGTGGCTGTCTGATACTCGAATGTCTTGTATTATTGCATTGGTGTGAAAGGAATGGATTTGGTCCACTGGGAATCACTGGCTTATCAATGGGAGGTCATGTAAGTATGCGCTTTGATTATATGAAAGGTGTTAAAAATATAAATTATAAATCTAACAGAAGTATTAAGGATATCCAATTTTATAATAGCTTCAACTCTAATCAATATATTTTCAGATGGCATCTTTAGCTGCTACGAACTGGCCGAAGCCTTTAGTCCTAGTCCCCTGCTTATCTTGGTCAACTGCATCGGCTGTTTTCACCACTGTATGTAATACAAAATAGATGTATTTAAAATACATCACACTTTCAGCTATCCATGCTTCGAGCTTTTACGGTTGGTTTTATGTTAAACTTAATTTTTGTAAATGGGCTAATGAAAAAAGGTTGCATAGTCTCCATTTAAGCTGGAAGGTGCTTTGTCTAACAAATTTAATTTGAAATTCTTCAACTAACAACATTCGTAACAATTATTATTAATTTACAACTGATTCATATATATTATTCATCATATTCTTTAACAGGGAGTTATGAGTCAATCAATTAATTGGGACATGCTGGAGACGCAGTATTACTCTGATGGCCAATATAGGGAACGTCTATCAAAAATGGTTACCATCGTTGACGATGCTTTTACAGCTGGTCAAAATTTTATACAAAATTTTAATAGATCGCTGCACGAGCTCAAAGAGGATATTGATGATACCAGAAAAATACAGTCTCTCCAATGTGAGACGCATAACAATTCGGTTGAGGATGGGAATAATTCAATATTTTTATCTAAATCACTTGAGCTCAATCAAATGGACCCGAACCGTGAGCCTGTGCCATTAAAGGATATGCTCGATAAAAACGTATCATGTAATTCTAATTTAACTCTAATACAACCGGACACGGCCGAGCGATCGGCGCTGACGAAACTAATGAAATTTATATTGCCCGCGTCGTCTCAGAGTAAAAGTAAGAAAATTGACATCACCAAAACGAATTGGTGGGAGAGAGAGGCACTGCAATTTATGAGAGGAATGATGGATGAGTGCACACATTTAAAGAACTTCTCCGTACCCTTCGACACCTCCCTCATCATAGCAGTGTGTGCAAGAGATGATGCGTACGTACCGCGAGATGGATGCTCGAATCTCGAGGACATATGGCCAGGAGCTGAAGTAAGGTATTTAGATGCTGGACATGTGAGCGCCTATGTCTTACACCAAAAATTGTTTCGGTAAGAACTATTCCAGATAGTGTATCAATATCTATCTAATTCTATAAATGTATGTTTACAGATCATGTATTATTGAGGCTTTTGATAGAGCTAAAAAAGTTTACGAGAAAGCAAACTATAAAGATTTATCAACTGCTTTTAAATAAAAGTGAAAAGTAAGCATAAAATATGTAAAATGATTTTGATTGAACATGTTTCGGGTAATAATAGTTCAAATATCATTCGGAAAGTGCCTATAAGTTGGATATATATAATAATCATATGCCAATTTATGTAATATAAACAAATGAATACAAAATTAGTATATTTAAGTAAATAAATGATCAATATAATAACAAAATGTATATTGTTGGGCTATTCTTAGTACTCTGTTTTCTGGTAATGCTCTCTGCGGAATGCCGACAACTTTAAGCGCTGACTTTGCAGAGATTGCTCCAGTTCTAATACTTTAACTTGAATTTCCATTTCCATAGTCTTGAGTTGAGATGGTGTTAGGTTGCGCAAATCATTATCCTGCTGTTGTTCCTGTCGAGCATTTCCATCCTTGACAGTGGCTACTACGACTCCTGTTGCCTTGGTCACATCACGCGAGGCGTTGGTCAAATTTACCAAATTTTCACTATTCCGATTTGCCTTCACCTTGCTTGCGATAACCAGTTGAACTGTGCAGGCTGCGATTTCTTGAGCAGCAACGATTAACTCAAAGTTTTGGCCCGATTCACTGTTAACTGCATTATTGGCTGCGTCCACAAGATAATTTGCAGCCTTGGCTACGCTCTTTGAAGCCGAAATCAAACCATCTGACCATTGGCTATTGCGCTTATAGAATTCATTGGCTGTCGCATTGCCTAAAAGGATAAAGCAACATTATATGAAAGCAGGTTTTACATTTTATATATAGATTATGTACTGACCTTTTTGGGAAGAAACGATTTCTTGTTGCAGCACACGCGATTTTAAGATTAATATTTTTATGCACTCCATCAGAGCTGTGCATGCCTCTAAGATTTTCTCATTTACTTCGAGTTTGATTTGGTTGTCGTTTTCCCGGGACTTGGAGAGTAGATTAATTATCTTGGAAGCAGCCTCCTCAATGGCAGCATCCATCTCCTTCAGCTCTATTTCGATTAGCTTATCAAGATCCACGCTCTTCTCAAAGTTATTCAATATACCCTGCACCACCTCATTTAAGCCATTTAAGTTCTTTTGTATTTCCTTTGCAAGAGACTCAAATTGGCGGTTTTTATCATCATTTTCAACAACTTCGATTAGCTTGAGAAGGTCTGGCCATATGGAACGCACTTTGTTTAAAACATCTGGATATAAGAGAAAGTTATTGATAAGAGTATATTTGAAAGAGAATCTGAATCTTACCTTCCCCCTTTTCGATGTCCGTTGTTGTTGTATAAATTATATCACATTGTTCATAGAGTTCTATAAAATAATATCCTAAATGTAAAATGTCATGTATCTTGGCAACGCAATCATCAATTGGCATATGAGCGGAAGTTCCCAATTTGTTTAGCAATGCTTCGATTTGCGAGGATAATTTTGGTACAAATTCCAATGGTTGTTGAGCGCCTTCATTCAATTTGGAAATACATAGATCTTTCACAGTCTGTATGGTTAATTTTCTTATTTCCAGCAATTTATCTTCACTTCGTTTATGTGATACTGTAATGGAATCCACTTTGGTTAAAGCTTGAATTAAATCATTTTCGAGTTGACTCTGTTTATCTTTCATATCCAATGAAAGTTTATTCGATATGATCTTTTCGTCCTTCAACAGTGTTAAACTTGCCTCCAGCTCCTATACAAAGAAAAAGTTGTAGTAATCATTGGGCATATATTAGATTTTCGCATAAATTTCTTACCTCTAACTCAATTTCTTTTTGCTTAAGTTTTAGATCAGTTGCATCCAATGTTGCACGCAAAGCTTGAGCATCTCGTTGAACTGTTTCTTGTAGTTGTTTGTGTTCAGTTGAGAGTTGTAAGTATTTATCTTCAGACTTTTGAAGGCTTTCGGTAAATTCCGTATTTTTAATATGCAATAAATTTTCAGCTTCTGCAAGTTTGGCTTCTTTTTCTTGCAAAACTAATTTAACACTGTCAAGCTCAATATTTGTATCTTTTAATATATTTACCTTTGAACATAAATCAAGATTTTCATTTTCTTTTTCATTTATTCTAGCCTCATATTTTATTTCTAACTCTTTGCCACTTGTTTCAAGTCTTGCATTTTCAGCCTTAAGCTCCTCGATTTGCTGTAAGAGCTTAAGATTATTTGCTTTTTCGCACTCCATAGTCTCGTTGTTTTTCAACAATTCATTGTTAAGCTCTTTTATTTGCAACAATAATTCTGAATTAAGTTGCTTTTCTTTGTTTAAAGATTTGGAATGGTCGCTGTGCTATAATAATATATACAAATTATAATTTGCAATAAGTGTGAATTTTTATATATCGCAATTATTCTTACCTGTCGTAGTAAATTAATGTGCTCATCTCTTATTTGGGTGTACATAACTTTTAGCTTGTTGAACTTTTCGGATGATAACTTTTGTTTCTCCTCCTCTTCGACTACCTTTTCTGTAAGTCAAAGTCATAAAATTTTTAGATGTACTTTCATATTATAAGAATTTTTACTTACGACTTATAATGTGATTATTGGTCAACTGTAGTTCTAGTTCATCTTTTTCCATGCGCATATTCGAACACATTTCTTTAACAGAAGCCAATTCGTTGCATAACGAAGTATTACTCCTTTGAAGGTCCAGAACATCTTGTTTATAACTCTGCTCTAAGCTCTCGTAATTATGTTTCCACTCATCCAGCTTGGCTGTCAGTTGTATTATCATATCGCTTTTATCTTCCACAATATTTTCCAAGGCATTTATACGTTCATTTAAGATTTGATCTTGTTGAACATGATCCGTATTGTCCTCAGCATTAGGAAAGTTGGTATCTATAAGGTCATCTACAACGGGGTCTGGTTCTAATGGAACAACCACAACAGGTGGCACGTAGCTACCAAACTCGACCTGCGACTTAAAGTTCGGACTTTGATCGGGCAATTGTGGAACCGTAATGAGGTCATTAAAGTATTGTAAAGGTCTCACGTTATTATAAAACAGCTTCAATTTGGCAAAGATGCCGGCGAATCTCTCTCTATGACCGTAAAGCACATCGTTGGGCAATTTTTCATGTAGTTTGAACATCATGCGAACACTAACATCATACAAGGCATTGGAATCCTGTATGAGGGTTATCATAGGCGCCAATCTACATTGGCCTGGCTGTGTCATCGATGATATCCTATAGGTATTTATAGAAGAAAATATTGCCACTTGCAAAGCAATGATGTCCTCCAAATAGTCAAAGATTTCCACGCATAATTGAAAGCTATAAGATATTTAAGTATAAATATACATATAAAGAGAGAGAATAATCATAGTGCGTACCAGTAATTTAAATCTCTATCTGAAGCTTTTAATATTTCAGAAAACGGTATAATGAGGTTTCCAGGATAGAAACGATTCTTGTCGTGAAAGTTGAGCTTGGTTACCAGGAGCTTGCTATATGCTTTAATGCAATAGCCGATATCATCGTGCAGATGACCCCAGGACTTGCCAATCTCCAAAATCATTTTCTGATGTTTCTGCGATTGCTGTAGAACACATCTGTGCGCTTCCCTCAACACCTTATGCAATAGATGGCAAAACTTCCAGGCCGTAAATCTATTTTCCATAATCGGTTGTCGAGTTATGAGCGACCAAAATGTTTGCGCCTCCTTTGATCTGTGTATTATAATGATAATGGAACGAGCATGCTTCGATTTCAGCGGACCTTCTATACCCTTGAGCGCTTTGTGAACACTCACATTCTGCAATTAAATAAAGCAATTAAAGTTGTACATAAGAGTAACAGCGCTTTCATGGAGGCATACGTGTTTTTTATAGGCGCTTTGCTTGTCATTTGATATTATAAGTATGTATATAGTAATTACGATTCATGAATCAAGCTAACATCTGTGCTCTACTACTAAAAATGAATGAAACTTTTACAACTTACTCGCATTACTATGAAATTCTGCACCTCAATAAACTACTATTACTACTACTATTACGATTTATAGAGTTACTATCTCAGTAAATACACTTTACTATCTATAGGATTAACATATTTTATTGCTTACTCAGCAAAAGTTAGGCCTGCCTCAAAAAAAATAAAATAAAAAATCAGCAGCTGAATTATATACACATGTAAATACATAAATACAAATATCAATTCAAGTCTGGAGAAATTAATGCTTAAAGTCATTGCACCATAACCAAAGCATAAACATGAGTAACATGCTGAGTAAGTACATACATATATACCTACATGATGGATAAGTATGTATAAATACATATACGTGTGTGTGTGGTGTGATATGTGACTCCACTTCACTTTTGCCCTACATTCGCAAATTCTACTTTATGCTACAGTCATTGTTATAATGTATAGACTTTTCTTCTACACTCATTTATAAAATACGATCAGAAAAATATGAATTACATGTTCATATTGTTTGTTTTTCTTACTACAGCTGTGCCGATCTTTACGTACCAGGTGAAAAAAGTCCTTTTCCGCGTGAGTTGCCATCTTTGGGCTTTAACAATTAAATTTGCGTATTGTGCGAACAGACAATCTGAATCACACTATGATTCATGTATGTGTATATGTGTATATTGAAAAACAAAATACATTTGAAACATTAGTAATCTTATCAAAGGGAGTACTTGTTTATACAAACATATATACATATGTGTACGCGAGTGTGTATATAAACAATAATTCGTGTCTTCATATATCGATATTGACGATAGTTTCTCATATTTACTATGAAAAATTGAGGTTAGTATTTTTTGCAGACAAAACAGTCATTCAAAGTGATGGTCTTTTTTGCGACAGTGGAATGAATCGATCTAAAAATACTGAATGTTAGTTGTTTTGTGCCACTGCGTTATCTTAAATTCTTTAAATACATTATTTAAATTTTGTATATAATGTTGTCTTAAGTGGGTCATGTAAGTTGTTAAAAATATTAAAGATGCTAGTTTTGCAGAAAAAATGATGAAATAGTTACTTCAATGAATAAATATTTAAGTTTTTATTGAATGCAATTCATTTAATAACCAATAAAAGCATTCATATATATATTCGTATACGAAAATTAATGATTAAAGAATCATTCTATTCTCAAGCTTTATATCATTGATTCCGTAAAAGAAAATTACATACCGATGCTTTCTAATTTGTTTCCATCTCTATGATTCGTTTTTGAGGATAGGTGTTAATAGTTTTGCAAGCTATTTTGTATTGTAAAGCTTTCACACACACATATATTTTGCTTTTGGTTTTATCTTGAAAGCTTTCTAAATTGCACTTGCATGAACCAGAAAATTTATTTGATTAGTCTTTTTAATTTAACTCCAATATAAACACTATATCACAGGTATTTTTCTCAAATAAAATATGAATAAATCTAAGAAAGGAAATAGAAATTTCGGTTAGAATATTATAAATTCAAGTCCTTGATTTCATTGAACATCCTAAATTTAAGGAAAAGGATTTTCGACATTTGATATAGTTATCTAACAATTATTAGATACTGTAAAATCATATAAATGTTAATATCAATTGGTTCAGTTAAAGTATTTCTATCATTTAGCATTTGCCTCAATGCCCCAAATATTTACTTAAAGAAAAATCTATTGACAAATTGAAATATAAATCCAATCGTTAAGATTACGACGCCAACTATTTGTGTTCCTATTCTTAAACTATTTATAGAATTTAACCTAAAAATGCTGCGACATTTTATATCTAAATTAGGCTAAACTATTGAAAGGTTAAATAATTTTATTTATTATATATTTATTGCCTTAGTTTTATTTAATTAAAATTTTGTTTAAATCAGTAAAATGGGGGACGAAGAAGATCCTTGGGGTTTCGATGATGGCGGTGATGCTGAGGCAACTACACAACCTACTGGTTCCACTGATCCTGTACCATCAAAGCCCGAGAGTGTGAAATCTGAGCCAAGATCCGAAGCAGGACCCCAGGCAGCAGAAGTACCGGGGGAGGAAATTGCAGCCGAGCCCGAAGAAGTGAAGGCACCTCCACCACCACCAGAAGATGACGGTTACAGGAAACCAGTTCAACTATACAGGCATTGGGTTAGGTAAGAATCAAAACTAAATAAGGCAATATATACGGTATATATAATAATTTCTTCTATTTTAATTGTAAAGGCCGAAATTTCTGCAGTACAAATACATGTACAACTATAGAACCAATTATTATGATGATGTCATTGATTATCTAGACAAAAAGCAAGTTGGCGTTGCTCGGGATATACCGAGACCCCAGACATGGGCAGAACGTGTATTGCGTACAAGAGATATCAAGTAAGAATAGTGAGATTATGTAATACTATTTTTATTTAACTTTTGTTCCCCTTCTTGCAGTGCTGGTGGTATTGATAATTACTCGCAGTCCACAAAGCGGGATAAGCACTTAATTCAAACATTAGCTGCATCGATCCGAACATACAATTATCATACTAAAGCATATATCAATCAGAAATATGCAAGTGTTCTTTAAACTCGAAATATTTGCGAACTTTTCACATAACAAATCGGTTAGAATAATGTTATAGGATGTGGTTTTAAGAGTTTTGTATATACAATGTACATATTATTTATACATTGATGAGAAATAGCCTAAATATATCCCGGTTTGTAATCGATATCATGACATACAAAATTGAAATTCGAGAAACTTTAGTTATTATAAACTTGAGCCTAAAGCCTGTCAATAGATTAAGTTATTTGTATCGTTTATTTTGATGATATACTTGTTTATTTAAAATTTGTTCATGAACCAAAAAATATTTAAGTAAGTGCTAATTTTACATACAAAAAAAAAAAAAAGTCTAACAACTAAATAGAGCAATATTAAAAAATAACTGTGCAATAAATATTTATAAACAAAAAAACGAGAATGATTTAATATAGTTTTATTTCAATAACACTTTGAGTAACCTTGTGAAGGTTACCTAATAGTTAAAAATAAAAGTTCAAAAATTCCTATTGTAGTATTGTACCTGTTGTAGATGCAATTCTAATGGTATAAAGAGCATTGAGTACTTGTGCCTGTTCTTTTGCTTTTAGAAAAAAGTAGTAAAAAGTAGTCGAAGCTAGAATTCCTAATACTAATGCAATAAACATCATATCACATGCACACGAGCATACGCATAATAGCGTAAATATGTTTGTGTGTGTGTTTACTTGATGCGTATAAAATGTCAATTACGGCATAACAAAAACGTAATCAACGTTAGAGTGGACCAGATTATATGAAAAGAATGATTATACATTGAATAAAATAAACAAAGAAAATAAAACAAAGAACATTTTAAATTATTTATTCAAATAAATCTACATATTTAATGCTAAGAACAAATATATTATAATATCAGAAATAATTGCAAAATATGAAAAACAGAAAACTAGGGTCACCTTAAAGTTTATTCTTGTAAACTTTGCATTCGAATCGCATCTAAATTTAGTTGCTCTTTTTACTCAAGCCCATGTGCTATATAATCATGATAGCTCTTAAGATTTTGTGTTTTATTCTTGTGTTACAGTGGGTTACTGCACAGGTGGAAGCAAATTCCTTTTGGTAAAATATGAAATACATATTTGATAACAAAAACAAATATTGAAAGCGATGCTGAAAGCATACCATACCTTTCAAATTGTTTTCTTAGTAATCTATGTTATTGTCTGCATAAAGTGATACTATACTTTACTATACATTAATCAACATTTTCTATCTAAATAGCTCGACAAACGATTTACATGCCTTAATTCTAGCTCGCGGGGGCAGCAAAGGAATCCCACTTAAGAACTTAGTTGAAGTTAATGGCTTATCATTGTTGTCACGTAGTATTATAACCATAAGTAATTCCAGTTGTTTCAAGCATATATGGGTCTCCACGGATGATGAGAAAATCGCATTAGAAGCCAAGAAGTGTGAGCATTTCAAATATCTCAAATGCTTCTATTATGTACGCTTCCTAATAATTGATTTTTTTTTCTTTACAGATGGCGCACTAGTACATATACGGCCTGAGGAATATGCAAGGGATGAAACTTCGTCCATAGAAGCTATCAAAGAATTTTTAGAAGTACATCAAACAATTCAAAATTTTGCTTTGTTTCAATGCACATCTGTATTTTTAAAAGAAAAATATATTGAGGAAGCGGTTGATAAATTTCAGTCGCATGATTGTGTGTTTTCTGTTAAAAGGTAAGATGTAGACGTTATATCTTAAATATTTTAACATTTTATTTTAATAGATCCCACCAATTACGTTGGAAATTAATTGACAATCAAATTTTGCCTGATAATTTTCGTTTGGAGGCTAGGCCAAGAAGGCAAGACTGGAAAGGTGATCTGGTTGAGGCAGGAATGTTTTATTTATCAAAAAGAATGCTAGCAACAAAAGGACTTCTACAAAATGAGAAGTATGTTTCATATACATATAGAAAATAAAAATCGCATGATTTTTCCGAATTTAAATTTCAGTTGCGCTGTAGTGGAAATTGCAGCTGAGGATGGCCTAGAAATCGATACATATAGAGATCTAACCATAGCACGTTGTATTATGGATAACAAAGCTTAAACCTCTGAAAATTATTATCAATTATGAACAATATTTTTTTTTTGTATTTTCAAAATAATTGTAACAGCGACTAATTACAGTATACTTATCGATAGTATTTTCGGTATTTTTAACATTAGACCAGCTCTAGTTTGTTTCGATTATTGATATGTTTACAAGTTTTAACAAATAGAATTGGTTAAATATGAATTTTCACAAATTAATTCGGTCTGCTGAAGGTGCCATCGGACGTACGAGATATTATAGCAGCGTTGCGAAGGAAGAACTGCCGGCATCATTTGTTTTGGAGGAGGTAGAATATGTGCCTGAGCGGGATAAATCTGGATTGCGGCGACAACATAAAAATGTGCTCCACGAAACATTGCCATACGACGAGGCACATTCATGGATACATTTGACTGAAAAGTATCAAAGAACCTTGTATGGGCGCTATGGATCGAAAAGTAATGTCAATCCTAAAATATGTTTCGGCACACTCGCCGAACGAACGAAAGCCCAAGAGCTGCAAAGGATTACGCAACCTGAGACTTTGCCGGAATTGTTGGAAAAAATTCGCATCCAAAAAGAGGCGAAGCTAGCAGCTATAAATGAACGCGAAGAGAACATACAAAAGAAGCTGGACAAATTGGAGCAATGGAAGGCAGAATTAAATGCAAAGGTCGAAAAACGTAGAGCAGATGCTGCAGCTGCCATTCAACGCAAAGAACGATTGATTGAAGAGGTTCGTCGGCATTTCGGATTCAAGGTGGACGCACGTGATGAACGCTTCAAGGAAATGCTGGAACAAAAGGAGAAGGAAGACAAGCGCAAGCAGAAGGAGGCTAAGCGAAAGGTCAAAGAGGAGAAGATGATGGCGAAATTAATTCAACAAACGAGCTAGTGTAATTGTTCACAATTGTAAATTAACGTCAGATGGCGATTTGTCATATTTCATAATTCATAAAACGTTTCTACATAAATAAGATCAGTTTGAATTGAAAAGCTTTAATTCCATTTTATTTTATTTCAATTGTCCAAGTCATTTCTACATAAAACGTTGCGTACATACAAAAAGAAATAGATTATTTTCGTAGACTTTGGTTTAAATTTTGCACAAAACTTTTAAGCATATTCAAAATTGGTGTTTAAACAACTACTTAAGTGTAACATTATAAATATAAACACTATATACAAGGCACTTTTTCCGATAGAGTGAAGAGAATTTAGATGGACGACAAATAATAATTCACACACAATATGTATGAGAAATTGAATTTTTTACAAAAGATAGGGAGGGTAAGAAGGCAAAGGCATTAGATTAATCTATGATTAAACCCGTTACTAATGTACCTTAGGCTTAAGCATTTTAAGTCTATCTTAGATAGAAAATTAATTGTTTTTAACTTATTATTTGTCAGGCCGTAATTCGAATTCTTCCAACGCATTATAGAAAATATTTCTGTGCCGAATTTATAATTTTTTTGACTTTTTTTTGGTTGGTGGTATTAAGTTGGGATAGTGCGGATTGCGCACCTTTTCAGATCGAATATCCAAGCGCCTCAGAATTAATATCAGAGCGCAAAGCGCCAACAAATAGAGGCCAACCACGTCCAGCAGATAGTACTGCCACCATCTGAAATAAAGACAAATATACGTAAGTTGGGTATTATGTAAATATGGTGAATTTGGTAATAATGTACCCCATGTTTCTCGCTGGAGTCTGTAGATGATAAGCTCCATTGTGCCGCAGCACGTACTCGGTCCAGTAGATAGCTGTGTCCAGTGCTGTAGATCGCTGATCTAGCAGCAGATTCTGTCGATATCTAGCCGCATTCCTGTAGCGCGGATCGTGGATCACCTTCATGATAGACTTGTAGAGCTGGTTGGTGGACAACGTCTCCAGGTCCAGCTTTATAGCATATCCATCAACCTCCGCCTTGGCCGAGTTGACATCGTGATCACAGAACACAGGCATTGTGACCACCGGCACACCGTGGTAGACCGTCTCGAACATGCTCAGCAGTCCTCCATGTGTGATGAAGGCTCTCAGCTGACTATGTCCAAGGATATCCTGTTGTGGGAGCCAGCGTGAAAGTTTCACATTGGGCGTTAGATCCTGCATATCGGCAGCACTGCCCTCATACTTCCACAGCACATTGTAGGGCAGGCGTGCAAAAGTCTTGACCAACATGCGACGCAGTGACTCCGGCATGTTGGCAGCCTTCACAGATGAGCCCATCGATACATAGATGAAGCCCGAGGCACCCGATGCCGAAATGAAATCATCCAAATCCTTGGGCAAGGGTCGTGCTGGCTTGCAATGGATGCAAGCCACCTCTGCCACATTGGGATTCAGCGCACGAGGATACGACACAACTGCATGTCCATTCTGCAGAATGAAGCTAACGTTGCGTGACATATCGTACGGATGGGGTATATGCGCACCCAAGTGATCCCGCATGATGCGATGAGTGCGACGCATCACATACTACGAAAAGTTTATGAATGATTAGTTAAGTTCAACTATGATTAAGTCTCTATATACTCACGCTGTGTAATATATTCTGACCGATTTGCATGCCGGTATTCAGAGCTCTTTCGTAGAGACTCATTTTATCCGTGAAACTGGAGTAGAAGTTGGGAGTTATTGCGTAGCTGGCCGGGTTTCCGGCTAAGGACAAGCTGCCCGTATAAAAGCCAACTGTATTTATATACATAAATGGTATTTTATACAGATGCGTTAAGCCCTGCAGGCACTCAGGATAGGCGCCGTCCAATATAGCCAGATCGAATGTGCGATTCGCTAGATCCTTAGTTTCCGCATCACCCAACATGGCATCGCAGGACTAAAAAGTGCAAAGGGAATTCTTTACATATGAAATATATCTGATCAGTAAGTTGTCCCACCTCAAAGGCATATCGTAGCCCATCCCAGGGCTTAATGGGCATTTCGCCATTCATTCTGGCACCCAATAGATCCCAATTTGTATAGTTCTGTATATACTCGACCAGATTAGCTGGCGTCACTTCATGCAGACCATCAATATGAAAATCTGCTGGAAATCCGCTTAGGAACGTGATATTGTGGCCCCTGAAATAAGCAGAAGTTCAATAAATTAATAATCAATTAATATTTTTTTTTTTATTTAGAGAAGTTTTATATCAATTAGCAGTCTCATTTAATGCTCAGTTCCGTATTTCCCCCCGCTTAATTATATAAAGCTTGGTCACTGCAGAGCGTTACTAATGATTTTCTAAAGTCTTTTTATTGGCTTTAAAAAATGCCTTCTAAATGCCTGCAGCGCAATGCCCACGTTGTTTTTTTAGTGTCTTTCACGCTTGAGCTTACAATTTATTTACCCTCATTTGCGCATTATATCATTTAAGAAAGTTTTACTGAATCAATGTATGAACAAAGACGTTGCCAATGATATAAGATGTTATAACATATTGCGTTTCATAAATAAACAGTGATATGCTAGGCGATTTTTGTTTCTTGTTTGTTTGCTGTAGATGTTTTACAAATTTTATTGATATATATATAATTATATAGTTTTACCCACCTGCTTATCAGGCCTTTGGCCAGTTCCCAGAATGGAATCTTGTGGGATTTGGTGCCACCCATCGTGGCCATTAGGATATCAGCAGCCAAGGCCTGGCAGGTGAATGTGACAATTAGCAGGTAGCGTATTCCTAACATGTTGCTGCACAGAAAACATAAAATCGATTTAAATTTAACATAATTTTGTGTTTTGTTTTTATTTTTTTTTTTAATTGTTTAATTAGTTTTGGCACAATTTTTATCAACGAACTTTGGAGTGACCCACCGACTGTTTCGACTTCAGCACCGTATTTAAATTCAAATACGCTAGCAGCTTGATTTTATAGTTATAATTTGTAACTATATAGTATATAGATACATATACAATTTTATAATATACATAATAATCTATATAGTAAAGCGTGGCCAATGTTCAGAGCCCGGCATTTAAAGCATGTAATCGAGCGGATAATGCTCATGATTCTGTCACCCAAAATAATATAAATGTTATAGATATACATATATATACATATAATTATTTTGTTGTTCACCAAAGTGCGTTTTAGACTAATCTCGTAAAGCGGGCTATAATCACACTATTGCCTAAAAGTCTGCGCACGTGCCAGCGTTGAACTCTAAACTTTGACATGGGCAAATGTAAGCAAGCTATCAAAGATATTATGATCATCATACTTAAATGCGAAGAAGAACATTATGCTAAAAATGAGTTAATTGAAATTTGATACACCCTGTAAAGCTAAGCTTGGTATTGTTCTGCTTAAATATTTGTATTTAAATTGTTTTTAGTTAATATATGTATTCTTGAAAGACATCTATATTTGTCACTGACCATGAAACGACAACTTGTTACAGGGAGTACGTAGAGGTGTCATGTAATGGATAGAATGTACAACAGGCTTGCAGTTCCTAATTTGATTTTCGTCAGGTTCAGCGGGGTTAAGTGATGGGTGAAATGCATGAAAAATGAAAAAAACTAATTAAGGCACAAAAAACAATATAATATATTATACTTAGAATGCGACCCTAATGAACGTCGAAACAAATTATTAGACTGAAAGCATTTTGTAGTTTGTACTCGGATGTACCACAAATTTAATACGTACTCATACACACATACATGCATATATACTTTGTATGTATGTATATATGTATAAATAAATGAGGTAATTTTCTATACACATATTATACAATTTAAAAGATAGACGAAAATAATTACAGAGACTCATCTTAATGGCCAACTCAAACTCAAGCGTGTCTAAAAAACGTTTTTCAATCTTGAAGCAACCGAAAATAAATGGAGAAAAAATAATAGCGCTTATCTTATATCTATATTTCAACAATCTAACGGGCTACGAATTTTCTTTTTAATTGGTCACGCTGTCGTACCGAGAAAATTTACAAAATTCAGCGACTTGAACGTACTCTATAAGGAGTTGGTAGAAGGAACTTGAAGAGTGAGCCGAATGGATAAAAAGCAATGAGTGAACATGGTCTTTAGCTATGGAATATGATCTAAGATGACCTATACATTCTTCTTCTGCGCATATTTCTAAAAGTAACTAGAGATATCTTATTGATTGATGCAATTCTCGACCTCAACCTAACACGCCCAGTTGATTCCAGTAGCTAAACTACTTCATTATTGTACATTTGAGCAACTGCTTAATTTAGGCAGTTTGTAGCAGCTACTGGGCTTTCGAAAAGCTCATGCGTTTGTTACCAACTAACCGTAGACAAATCGAGTAAGGGTAACTAGCGCCATGGTTGAGCTTGAATTCCACTCGAGAAACCAGTTCCAGCATTCAGAGTAAGACTCTAAAATAATTGCCATCATTGTACGTGCATTGGGTTGAATGCGCCGAAAACGAAAATGAAAACCAAAATGAAAATGAAAATGAAATTGAAATTGCAGGCCTTGTAAACGCAGCAGAGTGTAAGTATATGGGTGCTTAGGTGTGTGTGGTAATGGATGATTCCAAATAATTAAAAAGGCAGATTGTGCGGTTAAAAGCATGTGGAAATATCCTAAATACTAAATAATTAGCGAGTAGAACGAGCTGCGGCTTCAAAATTATGAAATATGCCTGGGTAAGTTGAGCTGCAAATAACCTTGCAGTTTGATTGATTTAATCATGCTTTCAATACATGCCAATTATGCATAAATATTTACATATGTTAAGTTCAAGGCAGTCATATAGGATCTAGGCTATGAAAGCGTACTAGAAGTATGGATTTAAGCTAGCTGGAACTCCAGCACAGCAGAATGAAGAATACTTCATTATATACATCAAACACTTATTGAATTCCTTGGGTTTCTTTTCTTTGCTACTCTCCATAATCTACAGATGATCCTCGAATATTTAAGTGAATTCCTGAGTTCGTAGAATATTCTATTGCTATTTATATTGTATAGTGCGGAAAACTACTTTCATAATTAGTATGAGTAAAAGACAGTTAAGCATTCTTAGCCATATTCTATTTAATATAATATACATATATATTGAGTATGTATTAAGGCATTTGCTAGATAACATTTTTACAGTCTCTATATTATGCAAACTTGCTTAGTTTCAGTTGAGAACATTTCGATTTCAAAATTGCTAAGAGTTGAAAAGCTGAAATCCAGCTTTGATTGCTTTTGAGATTCGAATTGCATATCAAATTAAGGCGTTTCGCAGTTGATGTCGCAAAAAAAACACACATTTTCGCATTACAAAATTGACCACAAGTCCATGATTAGCACAAATGAATGCCTTGTTTTTTTGTATTGTTTTTTTTGTTTTTGGTTTGCAATATAACCAGTTTGCTATGCTATAGTCTGAATGAATTGCAGAAAAAGAGCTTATATACACTTGCTTGGGGAGTAGTTTAAATTTGTCACGATTTTGTTGACACATAAAATATGCATTACAAGAGCTTAAATTTGAGTTAACGGTATCACCGTAAACATATGCTTATGTGAGCTATAAGAAACAACATAAACCTCGCTGAAGAGAGATTAGCGTATTACACACACGCATGTGATGTGGATCATTGATAAATCGGGCGGTATTTCCGAAACACGAGTCTACAAGGGTATTACTCGCTTTGTCAATGCTGCGGATACTTTTAGACAGAGTTATTTAGAGATATGTGTATGTGCTTGGATCTTGTTTTGTAGCATTGTATTTTGAATCTTAGCAGCATAGTCAACTAATTAACCTGCCAATTTTATGTGCGCAGTTAAATAATGAAACATGCAAAAACAAAAAGAAACAACAAAATGCTTTGAGATCTTCGCACACAGCTTTGTCGCAAGATGTGCCAAAAAACAAGAAATTATTTAAAAAAAAAAAACATTAAATATACACAAAAAAAAAAAAAAGACATTGCGCAATTTAAAAACATATTTTGACTATTTATAACAAACAAGCTAAGCATTTACAATGACAATGACAACAAAATGAATAAGAAGAAGCAGAAAAAACGCCTACTATGGAAAAAAAGTATCGAACAATAATTTTGCATTTAAACAAAAAGCGAGGCATTGTTGCTCATCTTGTTCCTTTGTCAATGTCACTTGCAATTTGTTGTTTTGTTTTCTTTTCTTTTTCTTTTTGTTTATTTTTTCCCACTTTTTAGCTTGTGCCAATTTGGCGCACATAAATTATTTGCAGCTGTGACAAATAAAAGCATAGAAAAAAGCAGAAAAAGAAATATAAACTATAAATGATATTTTTGTTCAGAGGCCTAATTAGCATATTTGTCGGGTGAAAAAAAAAACTTTCAAATGGAAAAAAATATAATCAAATTTGACTTGGAATTTTTTATATCCAAAATGTTTTTTTTTTTTTTTTACAATTTTTGTAATTTTTTGTGTGTTCCAATTGGCCTGCTGCCGCTGTTATATAATTTATATACATTTGCATGTGCGTTCGTTTAAGTACATGATATAAATAACAAGTGTGTGGACTGCGCAACAAGTTCGTGTCGCAAGTCTTTTGTTTTTTCAAGCTTTTTTTATGAAACTTCTGCAAAGTTTTTCTTGAAAGTTCAAGCTAAGTGGAGCTGCATTAATTGTGTTGACCTTGCCCTGACCCAACGCATCTATTATGTTTACAGTAATGTTGCTGTTTTTGCTGCTACTACTATTGTTGCTGCTGCTGTTGTTGTTGTTATTGTTGTTGTTGTCTGGGGTCAGTTTTTTTGCGCAATCAATTGGCTTTCGCGCCGGTTTTTGTTGTCGGTTGTGCAAATACACATGACTCGAAAAGCATATTTACAGCCAAACATTTATGGCTATGTGTGCGTGTGTGTGCCTATATGTATGTGTATGTGTATGTGAGTGAGTGAAAAATCTGGTTATCAATTTCTTGGACAACGTAACACTTGAGTCACTTGCTGCAGCAGCAGCAGCAGCAATGACAACAAAAGTAAATGCAACAACAACAACAACAAACATGGTCCCCAACACGTATTACACTTGCAGCATTCACATTAAAAAAGTAACTGTTTATGCCCAATATCCTATATATAATCTATATTTAGATGTGTGAGTGTGTGTGTGTTTATTACGTATTCAGGTCAAAGTTAATAATTTCTTTTATACAAGTTTTCATTTTTTTTGGTTGTTTCTGTTGTTGTTGTTGTTGTTGTTATTGCACTCTCTGAAGTTCAGGTCTTGTCGTTTTGTGCCTTGTTGCACGTTTCATTGGCCGACCGACGTTCAATTCAATAATTTTTTTATTTGTATTTTTTGGGCTCGTGCATAAGCGTAGCAGTTAACATACTTTCACCAATGCAAATGTATTATTTAATACAGCTACAATACAAAAAACAAGCATTTTGTTTCTTTTTGCACTGTCCACTTTCACGTTAATTTTACCGTTATCCGTTAACTGCAACCAGCTCCCAGAATAAAAAACTTCACTTCACTTCGCTTCGCTTCACGTCGCCTCGCTTCCTTTAAATATGCTAAATATCGCACATTATTTCTTTTACAATATGCAAAGTGTTTAAACGAAACAATCACTAGACACACACACACGCACTATAAAACATACACATATGTGTGTGTGTGCACTTTAACTATCAAAGTGTATTTTCTTTTACTCCGTTTGCTCCGGCAAGTTTATGCAGCACGTAAGTAGTTTCACCGC